TCCTATTGCAAGGTTGAAATTTAAATTTAATTCATTGGGCAAAGGGGTATGTATAACCAACTATTCATGTGGAACAAAATAAAGTTGAATTCCTACCTTGTGCCATATACCAAAATAAATGTAAAAAAAAAAATTTAGAAGGAAAATTTAGTAGAATGTATGTATAACCTATTTGTGGGCAAGACTTTTTAAACTAAGTCGTTACATAAAAGGTATAGTAAGAAGGCAGGCATATTTGACTATTTAGTGCCCATTATTCTTCTCTGTGTTGGATATTTTGTATATAATACTTCCCTTGTATTTCCTAATACTGAAAGTTGTTAGCTTGGAGTCTAGTAGAGAATTTGGGTCATATTAGATATGCTCATTAAGATGGGTATCAAAGGACAATGAGTGATAGGATATATTACTGTTACCCCATGCTTCCAAAGACTGTTGAAAAGGTATCTCCAAGATATTTCATTTACTCTTTCATATTCTGTTTATACCAGGCCTTCACAGCATGCTCAGTTGAGTTACCTGTACTATTTCACTATGCAAATCAGTTTCCCTTTCAGTTTGAATTAGTTACAACTGATAACAATTGTTACTTTTTTTACTTAAGGGTATGAAAGTGCCAGTATGTCTAGCACATGCGAACCTTGCAAAAATAGGAACAGACATTCAGCCCAGACTGAAGAGCCTGTTCAAGCAAAAGTATCCAGCAGAAAGAGTCATGAGCAGTTGGAAAAAATAATAAAATGTTGTAGGTCTGCAGAAATATCTTCAGGTATGTTCTTTTTTGGTTTGCTTTAATTTAAGGACTTCTTCATCTTACGTTTGAAAAGCTGTACTAAAACAAGTCTTGAAAATTGGTCTGTTACACTTTTCTATCTGCAAGGTTTTATGTAGAGATTACAGTACACATTTCTTTATGTCAAGAAATGTAAATCGGAACTTTTTTGTATTGTTGTTATGATATTAGCTTTTGACTCATTTTTCTAAACAGAAAAGTATAGTTAACATTAACTTGGAAATCCTAATTGGAATTCTGCAAATCTTATCTGAATAAGAATTCGGATATACAATCATGTAATTTTCCTGCTTCAAACCATGCCTGCAAGAGAAAGTCCATACGCCATAATGTAACGTATCTGGCCAGCAGAGATGCCTTCCTGCCTCTCCAGTCTCATTTCTCATCACCTTCTGCCTTAAACCTACTCTTCTCGTGGCACAGAACTGAAATGTTCCCATAGCTGTCATGTTACCTCAGCATGTTTTTTCTGTCTCAAGTCCTTTTTGCTCTTTGCGAGAGCCCTTTCCTCTGCTGGCCTCTTAAATAAAATCTTAGTTCTGTAACTCTGAACTTGCATCCAAATGCAAGCTGGGATAGGTTTCCCTTCTTTGTTTTTGTTGTAGCCTGTGTAAACCTCTTTTGTTGCCTGTATCACATTATCTGGTATATACCTGTGTAAGTGTCTGTATTGCCTTTTTGAGTGCCTTGGCAACAGATACTGCCTTTTCATATTTGTTAAAAGTTAGTGTGATCCCTGACACATGGTTGTCACTCAGTAAGTGTTTATTGGATGAATGGAGTCATATGTATTTGCCATCGTTTTAGTTTAAATAAGCACTAGTACTTTCGTAATCTATAGAGAATAAGTACATCTCAAAGAAATGTGGAGAGGAAGGGAGGTAGTAAATATAGACTGTCAGTTTTCAGTTGCCAGTAAGATCCTTAGTGAAAATGATAGTTGCCGTTACCGTTTGTATTATGCTTCATTGTTTATAAATTATCTCATTTGAGCTTCATAATTCTGTGAATTGTTTTTATTTCCATTTGTAGATGAGTATACATGGTCAGAGAGGGTATCTGATTTTTTTTACAGCACTCAAAAAAGGGCCAGTAATATAAACTGGCACAGTTTTTCATCAAAAAGTCATGCCTTTAACTCAGTAATTCTGTAGGCATCCATCCTAAGGAAACAAATGGGAAAAAATAAATTGAGATTTATTGTTGTTTGAACTGTATGATTTCAACTATGTTTTGTTTTGTGTGTTTTTTTCAACTACCTTTAAACAAAAATCTGATTGCAAAAACACTAGAAGAAAATGTATCAAAATGTTAATAGTGGTTCTATCATCTAATTCTTCTATATTTTCTAAAATTTTACAGTAAATATTACTTTTGCAATCACAAAAGAAACATCACTTTTTTTGAAATGACTTCCTCAAGGTCATATTGCTTGGAAATGGTAGAACTGAAGTTTTCATCCTGGTCTGTTAAGTCTAGGATCTTTTTGGCAAAAATATCAATTTTATTTTCCTGACCCTGAAATTTTACCAAAATTTTGTAATTTTCATCTTCTTTCACTACCTTTATCAAATAATGATGTCTTCAAAAGTAAACGTTTGGGTGGAGGTTAGGGAAAGGCACTAAATTGAAAGGATATCAGTTACATAAATTGATTATTGGTCAGATCTTACTTATTAAAAGAAATTATTGAATTTTAGTGAATTGAAAAATGTTTGAATAGTGTAAATATACCTTTGTATGTATTTATATGCTTTCTAAAAAGACTTATTTTTTAGTATTAATCATTACCCTAAAATTCTTAATAGCATGTAACAGTTCTTGTTATATGATTATTAGAGAGTAACATAGATGACTGTTGGTATTAGGGAGAGCCCTCCTCTCCCTAAAGAGATGTGAAATGTTCACCTGGATATGTGTACTTCTAAGTGAATGGTAGAAGTTTATTATGGTCACTATCAGGCACTATAATATAAGTTTATGGCAAGTCGTTTTATATTTTCTCTGATGAGATTATTTTTAAATGGAGCATATGTGAGAACATTTCAGTTCAGGCAGACAGCTTTAAAGGAATTTGCTTATTTAATTTTTTATTCACTTGTTTATATTATAGACCCTATCATACACATTTTATGTTCATCCTATGTCTGCCCTTTCCTACAGCACATGCTAGGAGAATACTACAGCAATCTAACAGAAATGCATGCAATGAAGCGCCAGGTAACAATATGTTTAGTTTTGGTGTCCAGTCTATGTTAATTTTTTGCCATTGGTTCTAAAAATCCTTAGTTTTTTTTCATTGTTCTGATTTTTTTTTTTAGATTTAGCTTAGTGCATATGTTATTTGGCTTGAAAAAGTCAAAGAAAATTCATACTCATAAAATTCCAAAGATGTTCATTTGTAATTCTTTACTTGGTAAAATTGGCTGCTTTTTGGTTTTCATTTTCTGTTATTGTATGTAATATAACCAACACATCCATATGGGTAACAGAAAATGTTTTTATAATTTCATGTTTTAGTAAAGTTAATTTAGTATGTCTTAAATGCTTAAGAGCATTAATACATTTTGCAAACATAAATATAGTTATTTTATTCCTACCTCTTGATTTGCAGTGTTAAGTATTGTGTATGCCTTGTAGTTGCTTATTTTGCATTACCAATCATCATCTATAGAAAATAAACCATTAAACAAAAACAACTGTGACATGCAGAGACCATCGTATATAATAAAAGCCTAATAATGCTAACTGTCTGGTTGGCCATTCAACCAATCAAAGTGTAATATGTTAATGAAATGCTAAGGCTGCTCAACTGCTTGCTATGATGTGCACTGACCACCAGAGGGCAGACACTCTGACCCATAGGTTAGCTTGCTATTGGGATTCGGGCATTTGGGACTGAACAAGACAGGTCACACGCACCCTGGAGTCCTCCCACAGTCCCTATCTGGCTGACCGACCTCCCGTGTCCTTCCCTGGCCCCGATCATGCACCAGTGGGGTCCCTCGGCCTGGCCTGCACCTTCTAGCATTCCAGGACCCCTTGGGGGCAATCGGAGAGCTGGTTTCAGCCAGATCCCGCAGGCCAGGCCAAGGGACCCCACTGGTGCACGAATTCGTGCACTGGGCCTCTAGTGATAAAGATAATGGAAAATTACAGATTCCAAAATGCTGGTTTTGTCTTAAATTATGCATTTTCATGAAGTATGGTTCTTTGTGATTTCCTGTATAATAAGCCTAATATGCTAAGTGTCCAGTAGTCTGTCCAACCAATTAAAATGTAATATGCTAATGATATGCTAAGGTTGCTCAACTGCTTGCTATGACATGCACTGACCACCAGGGGGGCAGACACTTAACTCAGAAGCTGCCCCCTGGTGGTCAGTGTGCTCCCACAGGGGGAGTGCAGCTCAGCCATGATGGCAGTGGTGGCTGGAGCCTGTCCTGCCTCCACGACAGCACTAAGGATGTCCGACTGCCGGCCATCAGTCAGACATCCCCCGAGTGCTCCTGGACTGCAACAGGGTACAGGCCGGGCCGAGGAACACCTCTGCAGCCCCCCCCCCTTCCCCCAGTGCGTGAATTACGTGTACCGGGCCCCTAGTAGAATTATAAATATTCTTCAATGCCTCCTGTACTGCACATGAATAAAACATAAAAGCCTGTTATGAATCCTTAGGGGAATCTAAGGAAGAAAAACAAGGACCTGGCACAAAGTTGAATTATATCAGTGGCACTTCCTAAGGAAAAGAACAATGAAAATAGAGAGGATAAAAAGGAGATAGATCCTCCCCCACAGACATGCATCCCCTAACCTCTAAGGAACCCCATGAGACTTGCAACCAAGGGAGCAATGGGCAGTGTAGCTCTCCCCAGGTTAGCCACCCGAACCTGCTCCAAGGCCCCCTTTTCTCTGACTTCCTAGTGAGCTAAAGCAGTCCCGCCTGGGCTCTCCTGTTGGTGCTCCTGTGCTATGCCTGTCCTGTTTCACTGTCCCCAGCTTTAATACACGTACCTCACAGTCACCTGGACTTGTGAAGTTTTTCCTGCACAAAGTCAAGAACCCACATACCAGTGGCCGGCCTGAGGCAGTCCCACGCAGGACTACTAGTAGGTTCCCTGTCTGGTAATATCTTCACCTTTTAACCCAGCCCTGTAACCCCATGAGAAAAAACAAACAAAAACAAGATGGAATCAGAGAAACCTGATTGAGATCAATGACCTTTAGTTCTGGAGGAGAACATGGCAAAAACTTTCCACCCCTCTCTTGCCAGGAGGGAGGTATGAAAAAGCATGTGTTTGAAATAATTCAATTATTTTGGAATAATTTGACCTTTAATGATACATATTTAGTGATAATTTTACCATAAAGAGGCATGAAAAAGATTAAATATGCTTATTCTTATTTTTGAGATAACACGCTTTCTAAGTTAACTGTGTCAAACATATAAATAGAAAGTTTGCATATATCATATCTGGGTTTTTCCTATAAGTTGAGATTTCCTACAGAGAGAGTTTGGGTTCTTGCTTATAAGATTATTTTTGTAGTAATATATCACACTTAGACATTTTATAATACTAAGAACTTTAATATATCATTTCATTTTATATTCATAAATGTCTGAGGCAAGATAGGGAAGTTGTGTATTTATTATTTTTATTATATTTTACTTGTGGAAATTGAGACCTGAACATGTTAATTTATTTAGGACATTAGTGCAAAGTTGTTTTTTGTTTTTTCCTTTATTGATTTTTAGAGAGAGAGGCAGGGAGAAAGCATAGAGAGATAGAAACATCAAAGAGAGAAATATCAATCGGCTGCCACCTGGAGCCTGTGCCCTGACTGGGAATCAAACCAGTAAACTCTTGGTTCCTGGGTCAACTCTCAACCTCTGAGCCACACTGGCTGGGCAAAATTTTATTAAAGCCTATTGGCTTTGCATTTTCTTATTCCTCTTTTGCAAAAAGTGAATTAAATCTTTATGATCTTTACATATTTATCTGAAAACGTAATATATTAAAACAGCATTTTAAATTTTGTTTGTTAGAAACGTATTACTGATTTTTAGAATTTTAAATATTTAACTACATGTAGTTCTGTTGCTCTAGAATGTTTACAGAATTTGATAGAACCACTTGGAGATAATTTTTTTTTCACAGAGAAATAAAAATGGAAACAGTTCCTAATTTGAACTCTTAAAAATAGAGGTATGACTACATCATTAAGGGTGATATTCTGTGTTATCAATAAATACACATAGCAGAATTTTTGCTAAATAATAGAGTGCTACCTGGGTTCTGTGAAAATTTCCATGGCAGCTCCAACTTATACTGAGTATGTTAGTAAGTATGCCAGTATGTCATACTATAGAAAAATTGACCTATTATGTTTATGTTATAGTTGCAAATTCAGTTTTTATACTATACTATAGTATCATAGTTGAGATTTGACAATTTGTAGATAACTAGATAGAACTTAAAATAGTTACTTTTATTAGTAGCATTTATTCTCCTTATTAAAGAAATTTCCTTCTTTGTAACAAGTTCATATTAGCAAGAAAAGAAAATTATTTGTCTTAGCTGATTTCATCCAGATGTTGAAAGATTTCAACTGATTAGTCCTATGAAATGTATAACATTTTCCAGATATTTTTTTATTGAGAAATAATTGTGGTCCAAGTAGTAGTAGGTAATATTACTTATACATTTAAATATTTCTTTAATGTACAGTACATACCTTGATATTTTTATGATTATTTTTATCTTGGTATTTTTTAAGATTTCTCTTTCTACTTTAAAAGTCCTGAAATAGAATTAAGTATGCTATGATTTTTAAGTAACTTAAGGCTGAGAGTAATGATACAAGTTAATAGAAATTGTCAGGAATGTATTGCATCAATGTTAACTTTCTGATATTTTATATCTTCCAGAAACTGGGAGTGATTTTTCCATGTTCGAAGCTTTGCGGGATACTATTTATTCTGAAGTAGCTACGTTAATTTCTCAAAATGAATCTCGTCCACATTTTCTTATTGAACTCTTTCATGAGCTTCAGCTACTCAGTACAGACTACTTAAGACAGAGGGCTTTATATGCATTGCAGGTAGCTGGTACTTACCATTCTTTTTCCTACCCTATCTGGTATTGCTGTCTTTGTGATTATGTCTGAAGTATATGCTTGTTCTTATATCTTTTGATCTGTTTTTTATGTGCCTTCTTGCCTTTTGTTTAAAAGTTCTTGTATAGCTAAAATAGCTTTTAGATAAAATCATTTTTCTGAGCAACTTTTCAGTATTATTTTTTTCTTCATAGTTAACCTATAAGGTGAGGTATATTGAATTTGTTCTTCTGTCTGGTTTTGCTTTTAAATTTTGATGAACATTTATGTTTTAACATAAATATTTTATTTTCTTATTTAGGACATAGTCTCCACACATATTTCTGAGAACCATGAAAAAGATGTGAAAAATATAAAGTCAGTGAATTCTGGTACTTGGATAGCGTCAAACTCAGAACTTACTCCCAGTGAAAGCCTTGCTACTACAGATGATGTAAGCTGATAATGATTAATGAAATCTATACATAATTTCAGTATGTGTTAAATATTAAAATGTTATAAATTGTGAGTGTTAATGTTTGGTTTTCAGCTTTAAAAAAATCAAAATACATTATAAATGATCAATTATGTAGTCTAAAATAGTTGTGTTTTATATCTCTTGCTCACCACAGGAGTTGACTCATAACATTTAGTAAAATTTGTTGTATTCAGTCAGAACCTTTCAATAAATAAATATAAGATAAAGCAGGTCTTTGGGCTAAAAGAGAAGCCTAGACAAAAGAAAGCCATTCAGGACAAAAATGTAATTTAATATTATTAAAGTTGATGAAGGAAACTTTAAGTAAAGTAGAAAGGAAATGGAAAAGAGTGATGAGGAAAATGATATATTTTCAAAAAACTATGGTCTCCAAATAAGCACCTATCTAGCATACAGGAGCTATGGTGCCAGGAAGGTGCTATTAAATGACCAAATGACAAATGACTAGGATACTGAAGAGATAGAGAACATGCAAAGTATTTGGAAATCACCTGTTTAAAGGTTCAGACCCTAATTGTGTCATAAAAGATGATATGTAGTTTTGGAATAGCAAATACGCTTTGTATGCCATCTCTAGCACCTGGATATCCATGAATAAGAGTACCATAACCGATTAGCATGTATCTGCTATTGGGAGAGTTAAAAGCATATAACGCTGTGTCTGCCCATTATTGATATGTTAACATAATTTTTTTCTGAAGTATTTGGTTTTTTTTAGAAGATTGTCTTGTCTCTTCACATATAGTAATTTTTTTACAATATCGAAGACTTTTTTCTGGAGTTTTGCTCTAACTTATACTCATGTTTAAGACAATACTTGCCCATGTCATTTTTTTTTGCTTAAAACCTTTCTCTACTAGGCTCCAATGCCTATACTACTGTGAAGGTAAGCCTGTGTCTAAAAACTACATGGTTTTAATTGACTTTACAATGTCAAGGATAACTTAATGTAAGGAATTGCTACTTGGGTTACATTAAAGTTTATTAGACATTGAAATAACGTAGTGAGAGCATGAGTGTTTTTTCTATATTTTTTAGTAATTTTATATCCTTAACTCCAGTGCCTCCCTTTTTATTCAAATTTTATAGGTAGCATTACTTTAAGTTATTTTAATTTACTTATTTATTTTTAAATATATTTTTAATGATTTCAGAGATGAAGAGAGGGAGAGAGAGAGAGAGAGAAACATCAATGATGAGAGAGAGTCATTGATTGGCTGCCTCCTGCACACCCACTCCTCGGGATCAAGCCCAAAACCCGGGCATATGCCCTTAACTGGAATTGAACCTGGGACCCTTTAGTCCACAGGCCAATGCTCTATCCACTAAGCCAAACCAGCTAGGGCATTTTAAGTTATTTAAAAAGATTTGAGCACATTGGTCTGCACCATCAATAGCAAATTTTGAAAATTGAGTTGCAATTTATTAATGTTAACCTGACAAGGTTTTAAAGTTACTGGTAAATGAAATTTAAAAGTACTATGCTGCTTAATTAAGTAGGTGCTTTAGTCAGCTTGGCTGGTAAACAAAATACTGTAGACTGGATGTTTAAACATTTATTTCTCATGGTTCTGGAGGCTAAGAAGTTTATGATCTTGGTGTTAGCAGATTTTTCTTCTTGTTGAGGACCCTCTTCTTGGCTTGCAGATGGCCACCTTCTCCCCATGTGCTTACAGTGGCAGTGAGAAGAAGACCTAGTGTCGCTTCCTCGTTATCTAAGGACACTGATGCCATCATGGGGCTCCACCCTCATGACCTTACCTCCTAATGCTATCGCATTAACATATGAATTTGGGGGAGTAGGGGACTCACAATGATTCAGTCCATAATTGTAGGGACTTGGCATAAATAATCATAGTATTAATACATTTTTAAAAATGTAAAAATATTTTATTTTTAGAACATTTTTATTGATTGATTTCAGAGAGGAAGGGAGAGAGAAAGAGATAGAAACATCAATGATGAGCCCTAGCTGGCTTGGCTCAGTGGATAGAGTGTCGGCCTACAGATCAAAGGGTCCCAGGTTTGATTCCGGTCTAGGGCACATATCTTGGTTGCAGGCTCCTCCCTGGCCCGATCCCTGGTTGGGGTGCTTGCAGGCGGCAACCAATCGATGTGTTTCTCTCACGTTGATGTCTCTCTCTGCCTTTCACTCTTCCTCTCTTTCTAAAAAAAAAAATCAATGGAAAAATTTCCTCAGATAAGGATTAACAACAACAAAAAAAGAAACATCAATGATGAGAGGAAATCATTTTTCGGCTGCCTCCTGCATGTCCCCTACTAGGGACCTGCAACCTGGACATGTTCCCTGACCGGGAATCGAACTGTGACCTTCTGGTTCATAGGTTGACCAATGCTTAACCACTGAGCCACGCCAGCTGGGCTTATTTTATTTATTTATATTTTTTAAATTGTTGACAGTATTACAGATGTCTTCCATTTTTCCCTCTTTACCTTCCTTCACACAGTCCCCTTAGTATTAATTTAAATAACTAGTTCTTTAATTTTTCATCTAAAACTTAAATTCAGCATTAATGTCATCATCTTCCCTTATTAATGCCATTTAATTAGCAGCAGCAATACAGCATCCAAGGTTCATACCAGTTTTGTGCAGTGGAACTTTCTATAATGATGGAAATGTTTTAGATCTGCATTGTCTAATACAGTATTCATTGGACATGTACTGTTTAACACTTGAAATGTGGCTAGTGGGATTGAGGAACTAAATTAAAATTTTATTTAATTTGAATAGCTACATGGTTAGTGTTACCAAATTGGACAGAAAGAGTCTCATTCTCCATGTTTCTAGACCAAGGTCCTTTGAGCTTCATTTATGGAGCTTTAACACACAGTTCAGGGTATGTATAAGAGTCTTCATGCCCAGGACAAAGAGAAGGAAAAGTAGACATCTGGAAATTACAAGTGAAGGAGAGTGAGGAATTGAAGTTTAAGCAGAGGAAGAAACACTTTGCATCTTCTACGCCCGGTGCTATAAAATGCAAAAGCACATCCACCAGCAAGTCTTAATTGACGGAGCAACAGTATGGTTTCATTTCCTAAAGTGTGTTCACCAATACCTGAATTTTCTTTCATTGGGGCTAAAACTTTTATTTAATATCAGAGAAAATTTTAAAAGATCAATAGCTAGGGAAAAAATATAATTATGAAATGAGTTTCAGTCAAAATACAAGTGAGACCTGGCTGGGTGGCTCAGTTGGTTGGAGCATTGTCCTGTACACCAAGAGGTTGAGGGTTCAACCCCCAGTCAGTGCACATATGGGAAGCAACCGATTGATGTTTGTTTCTTTTCCACATCCATGTTTTTCTCTCTTTCTTTCTCTAAAAAAATGAATGAACACATATCCCTGGGTGAGGATTAAAACAAACAAACAAACAAAAAAAACCAAGTGAGACTTGTGCCACTCCCTAATCATATTAAAGACAAAAGTTAATTTGAAATTTCTTGAAGTTCAGAAAAAAAGCTAAAACTATGACTTCTAAAAGAAAACAAGGAATTCTTCATGATTTTGACATAAGCAAAGATTGCTTAGGACAGAAAGCACTAACTATGAAAGAAAAATTGGTTCAATTCTGTCTTTGAAAAGTTACAATTAGGAGAAAATAATCTCAGTATATATAGTTGCCAAATAACTATACATGAGAAATTCAGACTGTTTTATAAAAAACTTTTATAAGTCAATTGTAAGGCAATCAACTCAGTAAAAAATGGGCAAGAGATTTGAACAGGTGCTTCATGAAGAAAGATATGTAAATGGCCAGTGTCAAATTAAAACCACATGAGATGTTACCTTACACCCACTATAAAGGTTGAAATTAAACAACATGAAGTGTTGGTGTGAACTTGGAGCAGTTGGAACTCTCACACTGCTGGTGAATTGTAAAATTGTACAACCACTTTGGAAAGCAGTTTGGTAGTTTCTTATAAAGTTAAAACATTGATTGGCATGTGACCCAGCAATTTCTCTTCTAGGTATTCACCCAAGAGAAATGAAAATATACATTCAAAAAAATTCTTGTACACTATTATAGCATTTTTAGTCATGGTAGCCTCAAACTGGAACATCACCAGATAAATGGATAAAGAAACTGATATAGCCATACAATGGAATACTATTCAGCTATCAAAATAATAAACTTCTGAAACACACAAAAGCATCGGTTAATTTCAGAAACATAGTGAGCAAAAGAAGCCAGACACTGATGAGTACCATACTAAATGGTTCCATTTATATGAAGTTTTAGAGCCAACAAAATAAACTGTGCTGATAGAAATCATATGAGTAGGTGTAGTGGAGATAAAGGACCTTTCTGGGTTAATGGAAATGGTCTTTATTTTCAGGGAAGGTGGTTGCATTGGTGCACATATTTTTCAAAACTCATCAAACTGTACATTTAATGGGTGTATTGTTTATAACTTATATTTTAATAAAGTTGATTTAAAAAATATGAATGATGCTGTCATGTTTTTCTTTTGATATGAAACAACTATATATCATAGTCTAAGGTACTGGGCACTGTTCGGGTTTGGAGGTAGGAGAATTTCCCTGAGGGTGGAGAAATAATTTGTAACATTAACTTTTCCAAGTTAGAATTTAATCTGTAGCTGGCTCTCTGTATTGTCATCTACATAAGGACAAGTGTTCTGCAAGGTTATGTAATACTTTAATGTTTTCTATAACTCTCTAATGTTTTATAACTTTGGTTGTATAATAATTTTAAGTATATAGTTTTATGCAAATAGTTTTTTTATAATTTTAATATAACCAAACTTTTAATAAGAAGTATTAGTGATTTTTATTTGTCTTAAAACTGTAACTTAGGAAACTTACGAGAAGAACTTTGAGAGAGAAACACATAAAATAAGTGAGCAAAATGATGCTGATAATGCTAGTGTCCTGTCTGTATCTTCAAATTTTGAGCCTTTTGCAACAGATGATCTGGGTAAGCAGAACTTTTTATAATCTTATAATATGACTTTACTACAGTCTTTGAATTGCATTGGTAAGGAAGCGACAGTCTAGAAGGATAAGTTCTGGCAGAACAGAGACTTAAAAATCTATCCATCAGTCTAAATTCAGGAATCTTTGTTAATTCTTGGACCTTGTACAAATCATCTAACCATTCTGACCGCATATACTAAGAAAATGGGGGGTCTTATCTTGTTATGTTCTAATGAAAAATATACAGAACTGTATAGCAAGCATAATAGAAGTTTAGAAAATGTGATGTCCTTTTTCTTAAGATAAAGGTCACCCTCTTAGGTCTTCCAGTTAATGGGAAAAATCTAGAGTTAGCAATGCTTCATCCAATCACATTTTTAATAAAAGTGTTAACTTCCTAATTTGAGGTAAGAATTGAAATTTCTTAGTGTAATAATGAAAGAAGTTGTAGAGGCTTGCATTACTCAATGGTAGAGAAAATAAACCCTGAGTCCTAAAATTGGGAAGGAGATTAGGGAAAAGAAAATGTATGAGTACCACTTGATTCATTTTCCAGGCTGTAGCCTATCAAAAGATACCTGAGTATCCAATGCTGAAACACAATAGCATCGATTAATTTCAGAAACATAGTGAGCAAAGGAAGCTAGATACTAGTTCATATGGTAATCTGATGTCATATTATTCTAGTGTTTGTGTATATGATGGAAACAAGATTTAGATTATTTCAAAGGCATTTTTCCACTACAAAGGAAAGGGCCAAACCTTGCCTTGTCATTAGTTATTTGCCTTTTACCAAAGCAATGAATCTTCCTTTTGCCTTATTCTGATTATCGAGGACTCTAGGCCAGTTCCCTTCTGAGTAAATGCCTGTCAAGTCTCTACTGAATTCACTTCATAATAGAGAAAAATCACTCTCTGACCAATCCATTCCCTTTTAGTTTTCCTCACAATCATTCACCGTTAGCTCTGTCTGAAGTAGACAAAGGAAAATTGGGAAATGTCATTCTAAGTTCTTTTTCTTACCTTAATTGATTGTTTTAGCTTAGGTTTTTGCATCAGAATTTGCATGACATTTTGGAATTTATTTTTGTACTGTTAAATGAAGCAAAGTGTTGTACTGAAATACATCGACTTCGTCATCTAAGAGACCTGAGTTCAAATTCCTTTTCCAATATTTAACTGGCTATGTAACCTTATGCAGCTTACTTAAGTTCTCTGAAAATGAGGGTGCTGTCATCCACTTTATAGTTATTTTAAGGATTAAATAAAAGTACCATACCTATAACTTGTTAAAGCTAGTTTTCCTGTCCTATGTTCAGACATTAGTTTTTTATTAATAAATTTAGAGGAATACATGAAACAATTTTACATCTTCTAGACACATTTCTGTTCCATATGCAGGTAACACTGTGATTCACTTAGACCAAGCATTAGCCAGAATGAGGGAATACGAACGTATGAAAACTGAGGCTGAAAGTAACACAAACGCAAGATGTACCTACAGGACTATGGAGGATGAAAACGGTGCTGCTGCCATGACTACTGCTAATAATTTGAAAGGTGTGTTGTTGAATTCATTAAGAGGAAAAGTCATTTTATATAGTTCCATATATAAAAGTTAAATGCCCCATCTGATGTATAATAGTGGTTTTTAATTCACTTTCTTTTATTAGGGGTGCTAAAATTACATAGATGTTTCTTTGTATTATTTTGGCATTAAATTATAATTTAATGTTCTGTAGAATTTTACGTAAACACATATAATGTCAGACTTTATTTTGCTATCATTTTCTTTTTAAAAATAGAAACTCCTATTAGTGAAAATCATAGTTCACAACAACCTGTAAGTGAGATTTCTACCGTCCCGTGTCCTAGAATTGATACTCAGCAGCTAGACCGACAAATCAAAGCTATTATGAAAGAAGTCATTCCATTTCTGAAGGTAAGCAATAATTTTTAAAAATAAACTTCAGTCTGGTTTTTAATTCATACAAAGTATTCCATTGTAATAAATTCAGAAAACACAAGTAAACAAAAGAAAAGCTAAAAATAAGCTGTAGCTTTGTCACTCAGAGATAGCCCCATCAACATTTTGGGAACCTTTCTGACCAAATCACTCTCTGAACAAATCATTCCCCTTTAGTTTCCCCTTTCCGTAATATTTTCTGCATATATATGTGCATTCTGCTTTTTTTTCATATGCTGTAAACATCTTTCTACAGCATATTTTTATGGTTACACAATATTCATTATTTATTCAGAAGTGCCTACTTTAAGCCAGGTTTTGTGGACATGGCAGTGAACAAGTCAAAGCCTTTGCTGTCATGGTGCTCACGTGCAAGGATGTTACTTATTTTAAAATAAGTAAATGTAGCCGAAACCGGTTTGGCTCAGTGGATAGAGCGTTGGCTTGCGGACTGAAGGGTCCCAGGTTCGATTCCGGTCAAGGGCATGTACCTGGGTTGCGGGCACATCCCCAGTAGGAGATGTGCAGGAGGCAGCTGATCGATGTTTCTCTCTCATCGATGTTTCTAACTTTCTATATCTCTCACTTCCTCTCTGTAAAAAATCAATAAAAAAAATATATAAAAAAAAATAAGTAAATGTATATCAGATAGTGATATGTGCCATGCAGAGAATTAAAATATGATATGATAGTGCCTATTTTAGACTGGATGGTCAGGAAGCTCCTAATTCATATCTTTGGAAAAAGGGAGCATTTAAGTAAAGATATGAATTAGGAGCCAGCTTAAACCAAGATCGTTCCAGACAGAGTTAAAGGCCTTAAGATAGGAACTCACTTGGCTTGTTTAAGGAACTAGAGGAGGACTCATGTAGTTGTAGGAAATTTGTGAGAGATGAAATTGGAGAGGGGGCAAGGGCCAGTTATGTAGAACATTATAGGCCATGATTAGGAGTTAGGACTTTGTTCAAAGTTCAAGAGGAAACTCCAGGAGAGAAAAACAAAGTCTGGTTTGTTTGTGGATAATTGATCATAGGGGTCAGTAGCGCAATGAACTCAGATGAGACATAATAGTGGCTTAGACCAAGGGTGTAGTACTAGAGATGGGGAGAAGTAGACAATTGAAATATACTTTGGAAACTAACAAGTCCTATTAATGGTAGGTGGTTACTTAAAGCAGGCACTAGCTAAGCGAAAGGGGCTAGAACTGTGGTCCAGGACAAGATGATTCAACATTTAGAAGGTGTGCAAAAAAGGAAAAGCCAGAGTTTGCAAAATAGGACTATCAGTAGTGAGCTATGTTGATTGCTACTCTGAGGGTTTAGTATTCATAGAATAGAATTCTCTATTATTTTATCAGTTCTTATTGTTAAATATTTATGTTTATCCTTTTTTTCACTTTTATAAAATGCATAAATGACTTAGCTAAATTTAAATATACCAGGTGTACTGGTTAATAATGCGGATTTTTTTTAATAGATGGAGTTATACATATGTTGATATACGATTTGATATGTATGCTATTTGTTATATTGACAGCAAGCTACTAAACTTCATATGTCAAATTTTCTGAAGTTGTTAACATCATAGCTATTTTTACACTTAGAAATGTTGAATTTCGTGCAAAAAAAACATTTGAAGGAAGTTTTAATTCATTACTTTATTTTGAAGAAAAGTGCTGCTGAAAGATATCATATGCTTCGAGAAACTTATGGTGAACATGCTCCATTTCAAGATACTTGTGAACGCTGATTTAAATGCTTTAAAAGTGATGATTTTGTT